GAAGCCTTATTCTGTGTATTTCAGTATAACTTGTTAATTACCCATTGATCTTGTGTGGCTGTTTACATAATTTACAATTAAATTCTGTACATGCCGATTTCAAGGTTAACCTCATCTTCCCGAGGCAAGGGAGTTACCTGACTGTAAAAGTCCAGTTTCCACCCTTGCCGAACACTCTTTCGTGGCCCACCAGTGGCTATTATGAGTTATGTCCCTTCTATGCCCCTCCTATTGACCAATCAGATTCCAGCTCTCATATCACTTGCATTTGCTTCAAACAAAATAGCGGCGCTACGTCAAGACGATCTTATCGATGATCAAGATATATATTGTAATAAAACGGATCTTACTTCGCGAAGTGCATCCAATCATGTGATCACCTTGATTGTAATCATGACCAGATTTGGAAAATATTTGTCGATGCCCAGATGACGGTACTCATCCTTTGCAAATCCTGCGGTCGACCGAAATCCGCACGTTGAAATCCATTTGTACGTACCGGGTGTCGATTTCGTTACGCGATTTTGATTGGACTATGCATAGACTCGTTAGTACAGCCAAAACTCCACAATTGTTCGGCAAGGGTGGAAACTGGACTTTTTATAGTCAGTTAACTCCCTTGCCTCGGGATAATAGGTTAACCTTCGCGTTTCAATTTAGAAATCGACAGTATGGCATAACTGTACGAGCTTAGCGTGCAGTGTATTCCGCCATGCTTCACATCATTCATCTGTTTCTTGTTTCTTCTTTTGTGATGTTTTATATAAATAGAGAGGAAATTTGGATTTGTAGCCAAATAACATGTTTATCTTTTCGAAACACTTGACACGTTGATAGTTGAGTAGTGAAACCACTTTTTGTAAATATCAGTTTATATTATTCATCGCGAGATTAGACAAACATGTTTTTTTATACGAGAAGAAAATGGAACTATCACTGACTTTCAGTGATCCATTTATTTGATGTTCACCCCCGATTTGTTTTTATAACCCAATGGAGCCGAACTGAATTGATATCTTCAATTTCTTAATATTCTGAAAGTTATAGAAGGACAATATTTCACTCGAGTTAATTAAATAACGATTTAAGTTTTGAAATAAATACTTAGAACACACATATTCGAGGTTTTTTTTGTAATATTTGGCAAAATGACACAAAAATCAAATTAGGTTGTTCTGTGGAACAGAAGGAATGAGATACTCAAACACAACAATATCGGGGTATGGGTTCGAATCTCATTCGATGCGTTTGTAGATGGACTTGAGCACAAAGACACATCTTTTTTCTGAATTCGACTTAATGTTTTCAAAATGTTTTAGTATATTGGTATTTCAACACTTGATATATAATAATTGATTTTTCTCCAAAAACGTGATCAACAGCACGGTATGTAATGGTGGGCGCCACATGTTTGGTTTTAATAAACATGATCGTCATCTTTCGTGAAATGCGTATTGTCATTGCACTCATACATGTAGATTGAGCGTTTTGCCATGAGTTCTATTTTTGAAGCTTTCGTTCGTTTGGATTCTGAGAAAGATACCACATCTACTTTATTCCGAATCTCTTTATAGTGTTGACATTTAAGTCCGCAAGTTATTCTGACATTTAATAGCAATACTTAACAACATTACTCATAAATTTTTATGAGTTACTCGAATTACATTTCGAAATATTACATTTTTTTGTAATTTGCGGATTTTGTATGGAGATGTGAAAGTTTTCAGGTACAGCTGCAGAAATAGATATTTTTCTCCTTGATACTATGAGCCTGAATAGTTTTGGAGAAAAACATCAGACAACAATTTACTTTTTGTGGCATACAATTTCTTTTTTTTCAACAGTCTGACTGTTCCAAAGACATCATTCTTTATTTGATCGTAATATACATTGTAGAGAGAAAGGATTTGTTTTATATTGATCTGTACAGACAGTGTACGTCAATAATAAGAACATATTTAGAACATACATGTGTTCAATAGCTTCTGTTAAATATACCAACTACCAAATATACCATGACTTTTACGAATGAATAATATTTCAAGTGGGTTGGTTATGTTGTCTCCATATGGTGCGACACTTTCTTTCACTTGAGGGTAAGCTTGTTTGTTTGTTTGTTTGTTGTTTAAAGCCACACTAAGCAATGTTCCAGCTCTATGACGGCGGTCAATAAATAAATAAATAAATAAAGTCTTGATATGACAATCCAGTGATTGGTCTCATGAGCATCGATCCAAGCAGTTGGAATACGATGACATGCATCAACCAAGTCAGCGAGCCTGACCACCCGATCCCGTTAGTCGCCTAGGCCTCCAAAGACAAGCATAGTCGCCTTTTACGGCAAGCATGGGTTGCTGAATACCTATTCTACCCCGGATCTTCACGGGGAAAAGGGTAATTAACGGGGTTTGCCGCTTGTATTTACATGTGCTCCATCCTGCGGAGTTTAAAATAGGTCAGATCATCGGACGATTTGGATGTTTGTGTTGAACCCCGACGGCGTGAGTCGTCGCCCATGTTATCAATCACTGGAGTGCCTGGTCGAGGCGCGATTATGTACAGGCTGCCATGATCTTGCTGTACTGTTGATGGCCGAGGCAGAGACATTCACGTGTGTCCTTCTATCTTAACGACTGAGTTTTTTTAGATTTATTCCGTTAATCTGTGGTGAGTGGGTTTCAGTATTGAAACAAAAACGAGTATCGACTGAAACTAGATTCCTTGAACAGTTCTCAAAAATAAAAAAAAACAGTGGATATTTTAAAACAAGCACGATACGTGACGAAAGGCAATCACTGTGTGTTACATTCACTTGAGATGGATGATACCCTAAAAACAGATGCACGCAACATTCAGAAGGCACAGTCAAAGAATGTGGAAATCGTAGAAACATTATTATAACCAGAGCAAGTCGGATCTGTAATTGTACTGAAAATTCAAGGGCTTTTGTAAAAACATTATATTTTAGTTGTTCCTTGACAACCTTTAAATTGATTTTCTGTACTTTCACCACCTGCTTTAACAAATGATCTTCGATTTTGTAACGTGATCTGAAGAAATAAGAACCCTTACCACAATGACCATGTGCATCAATGGTTACAAAAGCTATTTTCGTTTTTCGGTACTAACTTGAAGCAAAACCATTATCACTTAAAAACAATATGGCATGTTTAAAAATCATGACATAATTTCTTCAATGAGGCTCGTTTGTCAAGCAATTTTATCCCACCACTACACTGCAAGCAGGTTCTTCTAATAAAGTGACTAATATTACCCAAGGGAGTCTATTATCAATCTTATAAGATCATGCGCATCACTTAACAAACTAATTGCGATCGGGAAAGGATAGCTATCAACAAGTTCTCGCATCAAACACACTGACGTTATTCAGAACCTCTGGATTCTGTCTTTTAGTGATTAGTATGTGCTCCATTGATTACAAATAGACCGCATCCGTGGTCTAGTGGTCTGCCCGGAGAGTGGAAGGTCGGTGGTTCGATCCCCATCTGTGTCATACCAAACGACGTTAAAAGATGACACTTGTTTGCCTGCCTGCCGCTCGGCATTAAGGGGCTAAAACAAGCACTGGTCGGTTTGTAGTCAGTATTGTGTGTCTGAATGGGGTATCCACGTTAAATGACGTCATGGTATTTCTGGGATTAGTCGGAAAGTGTACAAGCAGCTATACACACACGCGCGCGCGCGCGCGCGATGTGAAACACCTTTTCACGTAACCTTGATTACAAAAAAACATTAAACGTATAGACCATTACGCCCACAGTACAAGGGTAAATGTGGCTTCATATTAGAAAAGGAGCGATGGGGTAGCCCACTGGCTGAACCGTTCTCTCGTTACACCGAAGACCCGGGTTCGATTCCCCACATGGGTCCAATGTGTGAAGCCCATTTCTGGTGTTCCCTGTCGTGATATTGTTGGAATATTGCTAAAAGCGGCGTAAAACCATACTCACTCACTCAAGCATGATGCGGTCCATAAAAAGTAAATTGGTCACAAAGAGAGCTACATTCCTAAAACATAAGACTTTACACAGGATGTTCACGAGCGTATCAATTTAGACGAGTTGTAAATTCATTTTAAAACCTGAAATGAAATTTTATCCCGGTTAAACCTTACACAGGCGACGTATTTATGTAACGGTACAGTCTTATCGAATCTGGTGATTCGTAGTGACCTTTGAAATAAGCTTTGATTTGATTCAAACAATTTTCTTTCGCAGTGAACACTTCACAGATGGCCTTCTTTTTCATTTTATAAAATGTTGTTGTTGCTAGACAACGTTATAAGGATCTATACCGAAACGTCGCCCTTACAATAATAAAGAAGTTGTTATCCATAAATTGTCTCTTCTTCGCCATTAAAAAATTGTTTAAAGACGTACGAGTTTGCGAGTTTTCCCCTGGTGCAACTTCGACAGAAACCAAGTTTCATGCAATATCTTAATTGATGGAACTATATATAGATGATCTATTAATTATTTGCAAGGATCCCAACGATTTCCAATTATATCTTATAAAACAATATTATTGACAAAATGTCATATGCCTACGTTACGTCGACATCTTGTTGTCGTTTTTCCATTAACTGTGACGAGAATAATATCCGGCCAGCTTACTTCAAGTGGTGCTATGTACAAAAAGTCTATCACGAAAGATTCTCACATGAAAAAGTCCAAAGCCAATCAATGACGTAAGGTTTCAATTAGGCTTCTAGTATTTACTGAGGGAATGAAGCAAACACCACCATTATAGGATTGTTAAGTGGCATCAACGTTATCACCATGAGGATGACAGAGTGTGCTTGTTCAGTGTCCGCTTGTTCCAACAATGAAGTGAATAAACTGTAGATGTGTTACGTGGTGTAAGTGATGGCAATGTTACATCACAATAGGAGCTAAACACATAACGCAAATCTGGGATTATCATATTATCTTAGGCATTCTATAACCATGGAAATAAATCAATATCAAGACTAGATACCACTTGCGTACTTGATGATTCTCTAATTGTCAAATAACAAACCGTGTTCCCATATGTATTTGGCCATGCAAGATTGATTTTTAGTTTTGATAACGATCAGTCGAACTGGATGCAGCTTTAGCTGCAGTAAACACACACCGAACCTCAGAACATGCTAATCTGACTGAATCGTGAATATCTATTTCCTTACTGCCGTATATGGCATAGCCTGGAGTCATCTGGAGACACCCACAGAGAACAGATTGGCGGCGTGTGTTGACATCAATGTCGTGTGGGATTTACGTCAGGTGTTGGTCATCAATGTTCACATGTACGCTCCCATCTCATACAGTGTTCCTTCCATGTCCATCTGACGTTATCTGTTCCCAGTTCTAGGTGAATGGACAATGGAACGCGGAGCGTATATGTAACACTATCTATGAGAGTCATTTAATCTCGAACTGAATGTGGTAACGAAACAATTTGGAGAGGATTATTGTTGCGAAGTGTTTAATTTGTATGTTGATGCCCCGTCAGTGAATGGATTGATATTCACTGGAGCCCATGGTGTAGATGGTCATCCAACGCAAATGTTTCATTAACTGCTTATGGCCTACGTGTAATGGGAGTATGTCAACATTGATGCCAAGTGACATTGCAGCTGTAATGACCCCACGTTCGATCTTCTAGTCATGATGCTCCTCAACGCACAACGACAGCAAATGAACAGTGTTGGTAATAAGCTTTGGGTGCGCTGAACACATTCAAAAGAGACTTTATACATCGACTGCCATGTTGAACGCTATAGGAACACGGACGTCCTTCCTGCGGCCATATAACCACCAGGAGACTCTTGGGACCTCCCAGTTGTCTTTGTTGGATAGGAGGCCAAGTACGGCATCGACAGCCACGAGTAGACAGGTAGGATTACCAATATAACGAATCTCTTGTGCTTACAGCAGAATCCATTTAATTCATAGTGTTATTCTAATAGATTGAGATCGGTGGACTAAACGAGGTATTAATTTAACGGTTATTTGAGGCTTAACAAAAAAGGTTAATAATTTGCTGTTCAGCTCGATAAAACATAATTTTAACGCCACATGTCCGATAAAAAATTCTCAAATTTATCAATTTACCTACCTCTACGTTTATAATTATAAATGAGGTTAAGTATGATCATCATGTTATTTGTTTCCGAAGTGAAAAGTAGTACAAAGTGTTTAAACATTTCTATACGTCTCCCTTCTGGCGACATCTGCAGGATGCTGATTGAATTGTTGTGCCTTTATCTGGAGACACCGAGTCGAAGCACGAAGCCATGGGAACCGTTATTGAATTTATTCCCCATGACATTCACTGAAACCAACATCGACATATTCCCAACTGTCAAGATATCGCCAATTAGTATATACATAATATAATACGCACACACACACACACACACACACACACACACACACACACGCACACGCACACGCACACGCACACACACGCACACACACACACACACACATTAGAATCAAATGAATGCAATAGTGACAAAGATGTAGGAATCCGTTTACACTTACCATCGTTTAAATAAAATGGCTACAATCTATGGTGACAAACTACTAATTATGATGCTGATGCTGATGACGATGTTAAATAAGACATATTTTGACATTTGACATCTAGATCTTAAAGACAAAGGATAATTTTCGTAACATTTATAGTAGATGAAGACATTTACAAAATTGTGTAAAGAAGGAAATTCTAAAAGGTTAAAAAACACAAAAAATGATTTTTTAATGATATTCAGCAGTATGCATTAATGCATGGTATGGAATGTTAAAAACGACTTCTGATTATGCATAAAATATTTCATTTTTAATCATTTAGATCAAGGAACACAATGCAACGGGAAATCATTGAAATACGTCAATTCCAAAGAGACTCCTTTGAATGTAGACTATTTGTTTCATTTCGGCATTGCAATAATTCTTCAAGTTACAAGTTATCTTTATATGCCTGTCGCTCTTTATACTCACATATTCCTCCGATACGTAAATATAATGGCAGGCAATATTTGTATTTAAAAGATTGAATACGTTTCTACTCTTATACAATGACTGTTGTATCACATTTTATAAATATTACTTTGTGTTGTCTTTATGCCTACAATGTAACACATTTGCATGTTGTGAAAGTTGCTAGTTCCATATTCGCATATTTATTGCAAGTGTTTCGAATCATACATGTATATAGTACCTCCTCGAGATACAAATATAAAAAGGGTGCGGTGAAAGGTGGTTTAACGTCGCGTCCAAGATGATTGCACTCATATAGCAACGTGCATGCTCGTGTGTGTGTGTGTGTGTGCGTGTGCGTGTCTGTGTGTGTCTGCTTGTACCAGTCCGGACTGATCTCGACTAGCCCACTGAGATACCATGCCGCAGTTGAACATGAATACCCCACTCAGACACAGTATACTGACTCCGAGCCGACAAGTCCTTCTTTTAGTCCCTTAATGCCGATCGCCAGACAAGGTAACAACAAGTAATATCTTTTACCGTTTTTTTATGTGACGCGGCCGGGATCGAACCCCGGACCTAGACCACGGAGGCGGTAGAAATAAAAGATCTACATGTAGATTACGTTTTACAGCTGAATTGTCCATGATGCCTACGACGATGATTGCAATAATTGTAATAACACTCATTATTATTCAATATTTTTTAGACGCCGCATAATGTCAGTAACACTAGAATAAGACAATGTGCCGAAAGTTCGTGACTTGCTCAGACCTTTTGTGTCCATGCACGTGGTTTTAAAATTGACTTGCCTTTGCATGTATTTGTGACGGGTTCCATCAGTGACCCAGGATAGGCTCACGTTTTCGCGAACAGTTGGAATCATACCATGTTAGTGACCCATAAATACAAGCTCATGATACAGTCGGCATAGTTCAATCGACTCTGCTTTAAGCAGTGACTCTTTGCGGTTATTGAAATGGTTGTGTAGCTTTAATTAAAATGCCATTGCTCTTTATTTCGATGTACTCGAATTACGAATGACAGAACGCGTTTCATTTGCACTTATTAAAATATGTTCCGCTCTTGTGCATGCAATCTCCTAGCTGTAACACACTGCATGACCTGCATACATAATGCCGTTAAACAGACACAATGCATAAATTCAACAAAATATGTTCTCAAATTCTAACAGCAATACTGTGATAGCAATCGTGTTGTTTTACAATGTGGTCCTTTATAATTTGTCAAACTGAAAAGTCACTTAATAGTGAGTGAGTGAGTATGGTTTTACGCCGCTTTTAGCAATATTCCAGCAATATCACGGCGGGGGACACCAGAAATGGGCTTCACACATTGTACCCATGTCGGGAATCGAACCCGGGTCTTCGGCGTGACGAGCGAACGCTTTAACCACTAGGCTACCCGACCGCCCCCACTTAATATCCATGAGTCAAACACGTACATATAAAATTAAAATTAAAAAAATGTATATTGCTTCGATGGCGCTGCGATTGAATTGCCAGTTTTTGTTTGTGTGTTTGTTGTTTAACGCTGCACTCAGCTAAATTCCAACTATATGACGGTGGTCAGTAAATAATCGAGTCGGGACTAGACAATCCAGTGATTGGCATCTATGCATCAATCTACGCAATTGGGATACGATGACATGCATAAACAAAGTCAGCGAGCCTGACCACCCGATCCCGTTAGACGCCTTTTACGGCAAGCATGGGTTGCTGAAGACCTATTCTACTCCGCATCTTCACGGGTCGGAAATGACAGTCACGCGTAAATATCTGTCTGAGTACCCGTGTTCTTATTTTATACCACAACATGTTTCACCACGGTTGTCTGTAATAATCCAGACAAGGCAAGCCAGGCTTGATAGCACAAGCAATGACCCCCGCCGTCGGGAACGACCTTCGATCAGTAACATCATACATTGCGACCTCTGATCTAGATTGTGGCCTCCTACGCATTCATTTTGCCCCCGGAATCCCACAGAGTGTCGATTTTGAAGATGTCTTTGTGGTTGTGCATAACATGCATGCACTGTGCTTCCATTCCTGAAAGAACTGGTGCCATGTGATCCTGTGTAGGCTCAGGCTAAGAAACGTTGGTCAAAGAGAGTGGGTGGACGGGTGACCATTTTCGGTAAGTTTAACTTTGAGAGTTTCCAGGGTATTGGTCCTGTCCTGTCTCACGCCGATGAACAGGATGCATGTGCTGTCTTCATCATTTGCCTCTCTCCACCCAGCAATGAATTGATACCAGGCAGAATGAGATGACAATGACCTTCTAGTATCTCATATCAAGCAACTAGGGTTCCTGTATCCCGTGATGATCCAGGGAAAAATATGTCTTCAAGAACCCATGCTTGACTTAAAAGGTGACTGCTTGCCGTAAGAGGCGACAAACGGGATCAGGTGGTCAGGCTCGCTGCCTTGTTTGATGCTTGTCATCGTATTCCAACTGCGTTGATCGATGCATTATTGGATTGTCTGGCCCTGTCTCGATTATTTACAGACCGTCATATAGCTGGAATATTGCTGAGTGCGGCGTTAAACAACAAACAAAACAAAAAATTATTATAAAGGACCACATTTTAAAAGAACACAATTGCCTATCACAATATGGCTAATCGAATTTCAGATGACATTAGTGTTGAATTAATGCTTTGTTTCTCATCAATGGCATTATGTATGCAGGTTTTTCATTGTTCTGATGTGCGGCGTTAAAAAACAAACAAACAAATCCTTGTAACATCATAGCACAAGAGAAAATAGGGTATTGCATCATGTGTCACATTTGGAAATGTCTCCACATGTCCACCAGAAACGTTTTTGAAGGCCTCACCAAAGCCCTAAATGTTGTAACCCTGATCCAGATCAATTTGAGCAAGAGTCGTATGGGGTTCTTGAAATTCTCGCAATAACTTGTGAAAGGTACAGACAAAAAGGCTTGAGTTGGCTATTGGAAAACCGAGGCTGTTTCATTGGTCTCTTTTTTCCAGTTCAAATGTGTAAATTAGTGGAAGGGAATTGCCTATTGTACCATGGTATAAACTTCGCTTGTCTCAAACACTTTCTGTGGATATAAAGAAAGCCCTTCCTTGCTTGTTTCACTGATTTTGCTTAATCTTTGAGACAGGGATTTGGTGGTACATTTGCTTGACGCAGCAATATATCTCTCAATGCAACAAATTCCTGTCAGTTGATCCACTTCACAACACCATGTATACGTATTAGTAGTAGCAGTATCAGCAGCACTGGTACTAGCAGCAGTAGTGGCAGTGGTGGTGGTTGTAGTAGTGGTAGAAGTGTGTTGTTTAACGCTGTATGCGGCCCGTAAATAATCGAAACTTGACCATGCCATACAACGACGATCGGGACGATGATGTGAACAACGATGACCCGCCATCAACCAAGTCACCAAGCCTGACCACCAGATGCATGAAGTCGCCTCTGACGATCATCACAGGTTGGTCGGGACCAATTCTAACAAGGAATGTCCTCGTGTGACGAGTAACGGGGGAGTAATACGAGTATATGAAGGAGTAATTGTTTGTATGTCGTTAACACTGCACAGCGCCACAGTCTTCCAGCTATTTGGCCAAGGCCTCTAAATGAGATGACAATGTGACCATAACCTTCTAGTGTCTCATAAGCAGCTAGGGTTCCTGTATGTCGTGAAGATCCAGGGTAGAATAGGTCTTCAGCAACCCATGCTTGACGTAAAAGGTGACTGCTTGTCGTAAGAGGCAACTAACGGGATCGGGTGGTCAGGTTCGCTGACATGGTTGATGCATGTCATCGTATCCCAAATGCGTAGACTATCATTGGATTTTCTGGTCCTGACTCGATTATTTACAGACCGTCATATAGCTGGAATATTGCTGAGTGCGGC